TTGGACTCTCTGTGTTGAGATTGTCGTTATCTGTTGGACTCTTTGTTTAGGATTGTCGTTATCTGTTGGACTCTTTGTGTTGAGATTGTTGTTATCTACTGGATTCTTTGTGTTGAGATTGTCGTTATCTGCTGGACTCTTTGTGTTGAGATTGTCACTATCTACTGGACTCTTTGTGTTGAGATTGTCGTTATCTGCTGGACTCTGTGTGTTGAGATTGTCGTTATCTGTTGGACTCTTTGTGTTGAGATTGTCGTTATCTGCATGACTCTTTGTGTTGAGATTGTCGTCATCAGCTGGACTTTGTAAATTGTAGCAGTAACTTATATTTATTTCAATTAAACTGTCTCAGTGAACAGAGCAGAATAAGTTTGATCATGTCTCAATGCTTATTAGAATCATGCTTATGTATGGTTTTTAGATTATTCGGAGTGAAAACAAAAAGAATTTTGAACATTGGAATAAATTTGATCATTCGTACATCTCGACCCTCAGGACTGGATGGGGACTATGAAATTCACAATGTACACGCAGAGCCTCGTACTAGACCACAGCTTATGTTCTCCTCGGTGGAATTTCACTTACACTCGTAGTTATGAATGATTCCAAATCATCAATCATAATTACATCTCACCGTGAATATTGAACTAAATATTGATACAAACACTACATGATATTAATTATTTGCTTCAGTTCAATCACCCATACTTCTAGTAACATTGGAATCAGAGCAAATTGGAAGGAGGAGAGAAAAAAATTCAAAATTATCATTGTCTTAACTTGAAAATACTATTTCGTAAGGGAGGGGATACGTTTTCCCAAAACACTATTTGTACCACTAACCCATACGCAACTACACTGAAACGTGCCTGTTGAGAGATGTGGGAGGGAGGCAAAACCTACGCCCACATCTTCAATGCCTATAAATAGACTACATGTATTATGTCCATCCCTTGGTAATCCCCCGCCCCTGCCTCCGACGCCTATGGGTAATGGAGACAGAACTATAGAAAAATGACTTAGTCAGACTAGGACTCGCAAAGGACTGTTCAAAGAATTAGAAAATGTTCATTTAGGATTTTAAAAATTATTTACAAAAAGGAAACGATTTCCTTTTAAAAATCAAAATACATTCTTTGTTGCCCATTTTCCAGTCAGTAAAACAGAGGGCATTATTGTATGGAGATTCAAAAAATTATGAATACAGAATCGTTCTTCATAAATAAATACTTTAAAATTCATGTTAGGCAATAAAGATATAGATAAGATGTTGACAATTCATGGAATGAAAAAAGCATGTTTTGAGGGTTCATTTAGTCGCAATTTTTGCATAATTATATCTTAAATACAATGTATTCATGAAGTCATTCGTCGGTAAAACTTAGAAAAAATAAACTGATCTGTAAATACTAGGTTCATATTATAATAAACTTATACGTATTTCTTCTACAAAATTTAAAAAGAAATTATTTCAAAGAATTTCAAGGACACAAAGCTGGAGATAAAAATAGATAGATATAATTATAGTAAATCCCACCCCTTAATTTTAATCTGTTTGAAATTAAACCTCTCTACACAGGATGAGATAGATATCTCAGGTATTTAAATCACAAGACCTAGTAACAGGTAAATGTTTAGAATGAAGACAAGGAAGTAAATTATGTACGGGCTTATCGTGAGGCCATATTGGATTTAGAGGTAGGAAAAGATCATATTCACACGGTGTAGTACCTAAACGGTTGCTATCAGAAAAAATTGCGCGTTCATTACTGCTATCTGAAAACTGAGCGGTTGCTAGTGGAAAAAATGGACGAAATTGTAAGTATTTTTCTTCGCTGGCTCAACAAAATGGCCAATAATTTAATTATTAAAGTTAAGCCGCTTGATATTTTACCCTTACGGAACGTTACATACATTTTGAAACTAACATGTATATTTAGAATTTTGATATATATAACGAAAACTGTCGAAAGTGTTTGACACATTTACATGCACGTAAGAAATATATTAAAATTGCGTCAAAAGATTTAGATATTTGATAAAAATGAATTGACAGTTTGTTGTGTATTTGTAAATATTATTGGTTATTTTATATCATTGTCCGCTTTGATGGGTTTCTTACAAGCTAGAGCGTTTTTATTGGGAGAATATTGTGTTACGGCTACTATTAGACAACGGCACCGGTTACTATTTGAATAGGTTTTTTTTCAATTTTCATAAATTAAAATCACATCCTCTATTTACATATTTATGCAATTGAAATAGTTCCTTAAGAAAACTAAATATACACCTTACAATTCATATAATAACAAATTAATCGTATATTTATATGTATTTTGTAAATAGTAGAGTTTTAACATATGTCTGACATGTACATGTACCCCTGTACACATTGGCTTTGGAACAGGGGTAGGCTAAGCCTTCACACTTTTTTTTTGCAAAGATACAGACATAATATAGGCACTGAAAACTTGGGCTAATCTTTTTTTTTTGAACCAGGTGTAGCCCCCCCCTCTTTCAATTTGCTTCCGACGTCTATGGCATATGCACACACACACACCTGTCTTGTGTAAGCCATTAAATCATGTGACCACTCAATTTATTATATTCCAGCTATGTTATTATGCCAGATTGATTAAATTTACGATTTGGAATTTTTAAAAATCATAATTATCGATACACAAACCACGAGAGATTATTTGTCTCAAATATTTACGCAACCTACCTCTACAAATCCAAACATAAACCTACAAATTAGCAATCTCCATATCTGATTTAAAAAATATATGAATTGGAAAATGAATAAAGCTCACATAAAGTTATAAAGTTTTGCTGACCAACGTCGATACTTACTCAGGTACAAATTTAATGAAAATATATGTCAATTTACTAGAAATTCGACAGTAAAAAGAAGTGGAAAACATTAATATAAAAACCACGCTTTCTTTCGTGACGGGGAAGGGGGGGGGGCTTGGCTTGTCTTTCTTAGCTATATATATAATTTAAAGAACTCTTAAAAGCCTAATGGGGAGAGGGGGTGATGTTTTGAATATTGCATGTTAGTCGTTCAACGAACCAATGCATTACCGTACTTCGAAAAAGAAATATGGAATTAGAAATATTTGACAAAGCTATGGGTTTAAAATGTTAGTATATGTGTCTTTGAGTAAAATTATACAACCCAAATTGCAGTTTTGTGTGTATATTATTTATATGCCATAATATGGTGAGGGTGCATTTTTTTTTACCTACACTGTACGCTGTACTACAACTTAACTAGATATTATGCATGTTTAAGTATACATGTAGGCTACAAAAATCCCCCAAAAAAATCTAACTTAAGAAAGGTTTAAAAGAAATGATTTTAATTGATTGTAAATAATTATATATTATATGCTTTTTTCAAATTGATTAACGGGTCATTTCGTGAAGCTTTCTTTTTATTTGTGTAGCAATCCTTTTCGAAGATCAGCTCTACTTTGCAAAATTACGATACATTCGTGTTACAAACGTGCCCCCCCCCCCCCCACCCCTCCACATTTTGTCCCAAGCATAACCATTACTTTCTAAAATGTTCATTGAACGGCCTGTTGACTTTATTCCAAGCATAACTTTTACTATATTGAAAATTTTCATTGAAGCCCCCCCCCCCCCCACTTTTTTTTATTGCAGCATAGACAAACAGGAGTAGGTGGTTGCGCGTGAGAAAAAATGTTACTGAAAGAAGTTTGACAATTTTCCTTTTTTCCATGTCAGCCTTTTTTAAAAATAGATTTTGAATTTTTCTACACCCACCTTTTCAAAAATCGAAGTTAACCCCTGAGTTAAGATGGTAAAAATAAACTGCATACTATATATAGACAATTTATATAATTTCACAGGCAATTTGGGATATTAAAAATGTAGATTTATAGACATTTGCTGCCATAAGTTTGTTTCATATCTCTGTTAATAAGGAAAATTTTCAAATAACAGCCGGTGCGATGTTTTCAGTTATTAACCGGTGCAATATTTGCTGAGAACCTGATAGCAACCGTAACTTTAAAAAAAATCGTGTTTCATCCAAAACCTCTTTAAATATTCACTTTTCAATTTTTAAAAATTATTACTAAGTATTATTTTAGATTGACGCATCTTTAAATACCAAAATACCCACAATCTGAATAATAGATGATTTTAAAAAGCATGAAAACTGGGTATTTATTGACTTGAGATTTGGTACAGGCTTCGGAAATTTTACTAATTCTAAATTATTAGAGGGCTATTCTGCAAATTACTCATGACAACATCTATAGAAATACCTTACTTGTTCCGTGCATCTGGACTTTTCAGAGACTATCTTGATTTGGGGTCTTAATTTCACTGTTATACAACTTTTTCTAAGAGTTTTCAACATATTTATTTCTGCTAGCAGCCGTAGAATTTTCGAATAGCAACATTGAACGCGGTTTTGTTCCGATAGCAGCCGTTTAGGTACTATACCGTAATTCAGATCATTTAACATGATATTGCAAGACATTTCCAGATGTCATTAATGATTTCAAGTCTAGTACATATACATGTATAATACATGAGATAAAATGCATGAGGATGACATTATATAAATATTGCATGTAGTTGAGTGTAACATTGAAAATTTTCACCCCAAGAAAACCATTGTCAACCGAGGCGCAGCCGAGGTTGACAATGGTTTTCGAGGGGTTTTCGAGATTCACGTAATTTACATGAAAGTATAATATTAGATCTTACTATGTAAATTGCATTGACTGATATTCAATGTTAACATTTACTTTCACAATGTAAATTTTTTGTTTCAACGGATCTAGAAGAAAAGTTTACACGGCATTTTTAAACTATATACAAAATATCTTAACTGTTATTTCTAAACCGACTCGGTCTTACAATTTCACTAACAAAACATAACTCTTATATTGTATTTATTTAAAATTGTGTCATATTCCTGAAGTCAGTGACCCATGCCTCTTTTTTACTTTATACAGGGTCATCTGATTTTCTTTTTAACGAAACCCCAGTCATGGACCCCCTGGACAGAGCTCAAGTACTCCTCCTCTGTGACCTGTGTCAAAAAGCTGCATTACAGAGTCATTGTGAACTTTGTCAGATTAACCTGTGTAAGGCTTGTGTAGGGGAGCATCTGTCTGATTCTTCTAAAAGACACAAAGTTGTACCATACAAACACAGAACCTCTACTCCTAATGCGAACTACCCCAAATGTTCAAAACACACCCAGAAACATTGTGAACTTTACTGTGAGAAATGTGACATTCCTGTTTGTTCTACCTGCATCTCCTCTGGTATACATCATGGGCATAAGTTAACAAATATCTTACGAAATCCCAGCTTTATAAAAGAAATTTTAAACAACGATTTGAAAGAACTAGAAAAAAGAATATGTCCTACATATGAAGAAATTGCATTAGATTTAAACTCTGAAAAAATCAATTTGGAAAAAAATTACGAGAAACTGACAACAGCTGTCACCATACAAGGAGAAGACTGGCACAGAGAAATTAACATCATTGTCAACAAACAGAAATCTGAAATTGATGAGATGAAAACTAAACACTTGGCTGCTCTTAATGAACAGGAAAATGAAATCAAACAGACCACATCTGATGTTAAACAGTGTATACATGATCTGAAGAAAATACTGGACTCCAATAATGTCTCTCTAACCTCTGCCTACAATTCAAGGAATGCTGAATTCAGAAGTTTACCTCCTAAAATCAACGTTTCATTACCAAGTTTCTTTCCTCATCAGATCAACACAGAACAGCTCAATCAAATGTTTGGTTCACTGTCATCATTATCCATTACAACAGAAGAACATGGCTACACAATGAAGACATCAGACACTGTATCCTGTCCTCCAGTCAAACAACTGCTTGATGAACCAGAGCTCATCACCACCATAAACACTGGGTATAGAGAACTATACAGTGTTACCTGTCTCAGTGATGAAGAAATCTGGACACGTGGAAATGACAAAGTCATGAAACTCTACAACCTCCAAGGCAAACTACTGAAGTCAATCCAAACCAAGTCTGGGAACACACCAACTGATATAACAGTGACAAGAAGTGGAGATCTAGTTTATACTGACCCTGATACAAGAACTGTAAACATAGTGAAGAATGACCAGATACAGGAAGTGATCAGACTACGGGGGTTGAGACCTCACGGTGTCTGTAGTACCTCCTCAGGTGACCTCCTTGTTATCATGGTCAGTGATAATAAACAATCAAAAGTTGTCCGTTACTCTGGGTCCACAGAGAAACAAACCATTCAGTTTGACAGTGGAGGTAAACCTCTGTATTCATCTGGTGACTACACTAAATACATCAGTGAGAACAGGAACCTGGATATCTGTGTGGCTGACTGTGGAGCCAGTGCAGTAGTGGTGGTTAATCAGGCGGGAGAACTCCGATTTAGATACACTGGTCACCCCTATACTAACAAGGGATCATTTGATCCAGTCAGCATCACAACAGACAGCCAGAGTCAGATCCTGACTGCAGACAGTGGTAATCACCGTATCCACATCCTAGATCAGGACGGACATTTCCTCCGTTACATTGATAACTGTGATCTAAAGTATCCTTGGGGTTTATCTGTAGACACCAGAGACAACCTCTTTGTCGCTGAGTGGATCAGTAGTAAAGTGAAGAAAATCAATTGTGGACTAAAGCATTGCCTATACAAATAGATACCGGTATTGTATTTCTCAATTGAATGAACATTGAATTTCGTGGATTTGCTCATCAAAAATTCTTCAAAAATTAGTGCTCAACGAATATTGATGAAACCACAGTATTTTTTTGAGCATGAAGACAGAAAAAATATTATTATGTACATTTTTATTATTTTAACCCTCTATCATGCACTGCACACCTGTTGAGTTCCGTGACTTTTGATGCAGTTAGAATGATATGCCCTTTGATCTAAAATAAATCTTAATCCTTTTAATCTAGTTATATATGTAACTTATTTAAGGAATTAAATAACCAAAATAAATTAATTAAAATTTTATTAGAATTTTTTTCTTGGACACATTGGACACAAAATAACACAGGGTTTGACTGTGTTGTAATCCCAAAATAAACACAAGAAATCTGATTCAGAAAACTTTTTTATTGTAGATGTTTTCATTTTAATTCACATACATTTTGAATTACATGAACAAAAATGATTTCAACAATATCAACTTCCATGCGATATAAGCTCAATAAGTCCACTGTCAGAAGAACTTGGCATTAAAAAGTCATTTAAAATTTTATAGACAGCAATCATTTCACTATAACGAGGCAGCTGTGTCTGTTTTTTTAAACTTATCATCTCCCTGTGTTGAGCCTCAAGTCTTCTAACTCTCCTTATGAGGGCCTCCACAAAGCTGTAGTGGATCCTGGACTTAAAGTATTCCTTAACAAACAAACAAACAATGGTTTATATCAATCCAAAGACATTTTTCATAACAAATTGATGAATTAACGAGACCCAATCTATTTGATCTGCGCATACGTTTTAACGCAGCGTCGACTCGGGCACGTCAGAATACCTTGACTGTTGTCACAATTGAACACAATAACGTCACAATTAAAATGACGTCAAATTGCGCTAAAATGTTTCGCTGATCTTGCTTACCTGGTAGCTCTATAGACTGTGCGTTGAAAGCTGGCATTCCTATTATTTTTTTTTTTTTAATATTTTAATTCATAATCAACTTTGGAACCTTATTAATTTTGAGGGATCAATTTTTTGGTACAGATTCATTAATTTTATCTTGTTTTATTTCAACTTGTGAGTTAAAAAAAAAACAAAAACTGCAACAAAAAATAAAAGATTTTAGTCTTTCTCTTGGAACATGTTGAAGGGTTTATACACACTCTTTTTAAAGCGGACTTAAATATGCATGGGTTGTCTTCAGTTTTAAAAAATAAAAGAAGTCTATAAATCCCGAAATATCTTATTTACGCAGGTGACCTAAAAAATCTTGACTGTGGGAAAGGTATGTACTATTTTTTTGTTTCATTTTTGTACATCTTTTTTCTCATAATTTCTCCCTACATTTGGAATCATTAACTATCCTTTCACTACCTGGTCAATCTTTTGTATCTTTCTGAGGAGTGAGTCATGTATAACAGAGTTTGCTGTCTGCTTCAGTGTCTCTATATCTTCACTGGTCACCCCCATCATAAGCTGTCTGTCTATGTCTGGTAAAGAGTCTGCATCAGATTCGCCAACTCGTAAACTCCTGTCAAATCTGTAAAAAATTAAAGGTTAAATAAACAGAAATCAGTACCTAGAACTTACATAACAACCAAGATAAAATTTTTTTAATATTTTACACAACATCATTTTTTACTTTCAAACAATTTTACCTTATCTTAAATTCACCCAACTCAGTCGTGTCTGTTTTCCAGCCAATTTTAAATTCTCACACTTGTAAAGAAGGTGTAAAATAAAATTGGAGGTCAAAATTTCCCTGCTCAGGCCAAAAAAATCAATTAATAGTTTCTCAGGCCAAAAATTTCAAAATTCGATGCAGCAGGCACCCCTTTTTTTTAAAAGCAAATTTACACCTTTTTAAAGCCATTTGTGCAATAAAATAGTAATATCCGCTAATTCTTAATTTTTGGTCTCTGAAATTAGTCATAATATGTATCCAACTTTAAATAATGTAATTCTAAACATTTATTTAAAAAGTTAATTAGTAAAAATATAGTAAATTTAGAAGGAGTATATTCAATTGTTTTTCTAATAAAAAAACTCTATCTCAGCAATTATAAAAAGAGGAATAAGTCAATTTTCTTTTTCAATTTGGAAAAATGGAAATTTGAGTTATTTCCCTTTTCAATATGGCAATAAAATATTATCAATGCGGCCGTTTTTGAACTGATGCGGACTTGCCTGAGAAACTATTGACTAATGTTTTTGCCATACAATCATCATTTCACTAAGACAAAAAATTACAACATAAAAACATGAGAAACAAACAGCCTGTCTAACCTTGAAGCCTCCTGAGTTGAGTGTGTCTGCGAGTCTGACTCGGGTACGTAGATGTCTGCTGATTGACAGGAACGCAGTGAATAAAATAATACTCCAGGTGGCGCCACAACATAAACAGACAGTTCTCCAAGATGTCTGCAGCACAGTCAAAGAAGATTGCTATAATTTATTTTATTCTTGCTTTTCAATGCTTCTATCTACCCCACGTATAAAAATGTACAGAACTTGCCTCTTTTTTTAAAAAAAAATAAAACTTGCTTCAACTTCAAGAAAACCTTTAACTTTGCCAAAATCCTAATATTTTGCTTCATTCATAAAGGATACAAGCAAAGCACTGCAGTTGTTCCTCTTTGTAGTGCACGATTTTGGTGAGGTGAGTTTTAGCAAGTTTCTGTCTCTGATGAGATGTAAGATTCTCTTCTACTCCAGAAAACTAAACATTTAACATATTAGATACATCATACATGCAAAAAGTATCACAACCTTCGCCAAATCCATACCTTTTTTCAATTTATAATTTTTTCTTTACCTGTTTGAGTTGTGGTTAGAGCGTCTAATCAATAGTCGTGACTGGTCTTTCGGAGGATATCGTATAAACCGAGGTCCCATGTCACAGAAAGTGTTGAAACGAGAATATGACAAAATTTGCAGCTCTCCATCGACAAGTGGTGGTATCGCCATATGAGTGGAAAATTCTCGAGAGGGACATTAAACAAGATACAATCGATTATCACCTGATTGAGGTCGTCTGACTCTGTAGTTTACGGAGATGTCGTTTGTGTCTTTACCTGTTTGAGGTCGTCTGTACTAAGGTCAGCCAGACTTTGTAGTTTATGGAGATGTTGTTTGTGTCTTTATCTGTTGAGGTCGTCTTTACTTTGATCAGTCAGACTCTGTAGTTTATGGAGATGTTGTTTGTGTCTTTACCTGTTTGAGGTCGTCTTTACTAAGATCAGCCAGACTCTGTAGTTTACGGAGGTGTTATTTGTGTCTTTACCTGTTTAAGGTCGTCTGTACTAAGGTCAGACAGAATATGTAGTTTACGGAGTTGTTATTTGTGTCTTTACCTGTTTAAGGTCGTCTTTACTAAGATCAGCCAGACTCTGTAGTTTATTTTATGGAGATGTTGTTTGTATCTTTACCTGTCTGAGGTCGTCTGTACTAAGGTCAGCCAGACTTTGTAGTTTACGGAGATGTTATTCGTGTCTTTACCTGTTTGAGGTCCTTGTCTGTACCAAGGTCAACCAGACTATGTAGTTTACGGAGTTGTTATTTGTGTCTTTACCTGTTTGAGGTCGTCTTTACTAAGATCAGCCAGACTCTGTAGTTTACGGAGGTGTTATTTGTGTCTTTACCTGTTTAAGGTCGTCTTTACTAAGATCAGCCAGACTCTGTAGTTTACGGAGGTGTTGTTTGTGTCTTTACCTATTTGAGGTCGTCTGTACTATGATCAGCCAAACTCTGTAGTTTATAGAGGTGTTGTTTGTGTCTGTACTAAGGTCAGCCTATCTAGTTTACGGAGGCATTTTTGTGACTCTCATACACAGACATGAAGTGGTTGGCACACTGACGGAGTTGGTACACCACCACCCCTAGACTGGGGGCCTGGACAGTACTGCTACTCAGGAATGAAGTGTCTGCAACAAGATATGTTTAGAAATACGTATTTAACCTGTACCTCTACCCTCGCAAACCATGACTGAAATGTTTTCAAGTTTACCTTTACAGAGAAGAATGGCCTCTTAGAGAAAAGAAAAAAATCTCCAAATATTGGGCCCTCTTCTTACCTAAGTGCCCTGTCCAAGGGCTTAGGAATTTCACAATTTTGGTTGAGGCATTCTTACTTATTGTAACTTTGCACTTAGTTTGTCTGCTAAATACTCAAAGTAGGGGAGATATTGATATCATCAACTTTGCCCTTCAAATAACATGTATTCCAAATTTGAAATTTATAGGACAATCACAAATCCTGTAAAAATTATTGGACAAACAGATTGATATAAGCAATACTTTCCCACTATATAATTTACTATTTTTAGGAGGGCTAAGTCTTGTTTTGTTAAACCTTTTATAGGGTTAGTGAACTTAAATTGGTGAATATTGGCACACGAGTTTGCAAGGGAATTTGTACAGCCAACGAGTGCCAATATTCACCAATATGAGTTCAATAAATCCTACCTTATATAGCTAAAACATTTTCTCATAATTTATAATAATTATTCTAACAAAAAACTCAAATTAAATACTAAGTTAATGATTTTTTAGTATCGGTCTTCAAATTAAGTTCTACTGAATCTTTTAGTTTTTTGCCATTGATTGTTTTTTAAATCACCAACATATCTGAAACCACAGGTTCAATTTTCTTTATTTTTACACATTTTATTCTAGGATCCATTTGAATCATTCTATTAATTTTTTGTAAAAATTGAATTATACATTTTCTCTATAAAAAACTTAAACTGTCGGATATTTACATGTGAATTTTCAGTTTCTGACACAATGTGTGTTCTTTTTTACTTAATATTTTACCAAAATTTTCCAGTATCAATGTGACTTACTGTTTTAAAGTAACAAAAAGGCTATCTTAATTCAAAGAATTACACGAATTTTCAATAGATCAATAGAAAATTGTAAAATAAGGCTCATTCTCAAGTCGAATTTGTCTGATTACAGGGGTCTGAAAGGCCATATTTCAGACTA